TTAAAATTTAAAATCTCACTTAATAGGATTTTAGAAGTAAGTAGACATATTTGAGGGAAATAGGCTTGCACCAAGAATAAAATCAAAGGTACATGAACAGTAAAGCAATGAATGAGTCAGATTAATGTTAAGTGGCATCTACAAGAACAAAAACGGCTGTTTTTTTTTTAATTTGCCTAATATGGTTTGCACACACTTGGAAACCTACTAGTGTTAGAATTACTGTCAAGAAAGGTCAACAGAGTTGTCAGACAACTACCTATATTTTATTGACTTGGTAATTCAAGGAGATGATGAAGGTATAGACCTAATTTGACCGGGGGAAAGTCAACTAATTTCAACACAGGGGATCAACTGAGAAAACAAAGGAGAGGTTTTTGTTTAAATATTAAAATGTAAATTTAATCATACATATTTGAAAATCCTGGCACACTTTAATCCTGTTGTTTTTCCCACCAACCCGATTTCTATTCATGTAAATAAATTTGTGCTAGCAGATTCACATTTCTTCACTTCCTATTTTATGACTATTTTCCCTATAAGGACTGTTCTTAGAATGAAGTGGCATTTATTTCCTTGGAATTGCTTGTGAATTGAATTAGGACTATAGCCATTATAGCAAAACACTGCTGTAACCTATTCTTGTGGCTGCCAAGATATTTGTATGTGTTGGGGGAGGGGAAAAAGGGGGGCCTGTTTTCATGGAGCCTACAGTATGGTAGATGATATAGATATTTATACAATAACTGCACAAATAATTTAGAATTATAACCATGTGAAAGGCTATGAAGGATAAGTACAAGAACTTTGAGAGTTGATAATGGGCATTGCTGAGGCTGTGATACTTTAGTTGAGATTTGAAAAATGAGTAGGAGGTTATTAAATGAGGAAGGATAGAGCATTTCAGCCTGAGGAGCCAGCAAGTGCATTGTCCCTGTGATGGAAAGAATCATGTTAATGCTGGATTTCAGGAGGAAGATAAAGTTGGTATAATATGAAGAAGCAGAGATAGATGGGGACAGGATCATAAACGGCCTTGTAAGCCATCATAAGAATTTTGTCCCCTATTCTTAGAAGAATAGGAAGCCATTGATGTGTCTTAAGTTGTGTGTGTATGTGTGTGTGTGTGTGTGTGTGTGTGTGTGTCTATGTGAGAGAGAGAGAGAGAAAGAGGGAGAGAGACAGAGACAGAGAGAGAGTCAGAGAGAGTACAAAATTTGCAATTAAGAATTGCTCTGGGGCTTCCCTGGTGGCGCAGTGGTTGAGAGTCCGCCTGCCGATGCAGGGGACACGGGTTCATGCCCCAGTCCAGGGAGATCCCACATGCCACGGAGTGGCTGGGCCTGTGAGCCATGGCCGCTGAGCCTGCGCGTCCAGAGCCTGTGCTCCGCAACGGGAGAGGCCACAACAGTGAGAGGCCCGCGTACCACAGAAAAAAAAAAAAAAAAAAAGAATTGCTCTGTTGAAGGATGGATGATTAATGGACAAGAGGGCCAGAGTAGATATGCATTAAAACCATTTTGGAAGCTATTACAATAATCTAAATGAGAGACTGGTGGTAACTTGACCTAAGATGGTGGCAATTGAGATGGAGAGAAATGGGTGGATTTGAAAGATATTTAAAAGGTAAATTTGGTGGGATTTGTGATGGATTAGATATGGGGGATGATAGGAGAGGAAGGCTGTCAAGGATGATGCCTAGGTTTCTGGTATGTACAGCTGGATACTGATCCCATTCATGAAAAGAGAGATGATAAAAAAGGTCCAGGATTAGTGGGGGGAACACACGAGTTGTGTTTTGACTTATCATGTAGGCAGTTAGATATGTGGGTTTAGAATTCAGAGGTTAAATATCATGGAAAGTCGCTATTATTTTTGACTTCCCAGCATTTAAACCCACTTCTTATGTTTGGAGTTCATACCGTAACAGTCTGAAAGGACAAAGAAGTGGAGTATGGGCCTAGGCTTCTCTAATCAAATGTATCCATCCAAAATTTTGGATTGGGAATAAATGACACAAAGAAGTATGCCCTAGGAAGAACCCCCTCTGGCAGTGGAGGCAGTTGAAATAAGATCAAGTTTTTAGGGCGGTTGTGGTACTGAAGCATCTTGTGCCGGTAGTAGTGGTGTGATCTGCAGCCTGTAGCTCTTGGTTGTGATTGGGTATCTTGACCACCAGTTCTGTAGTATGAGTTTGGGCACTGATCCTTGCTCTGCTGCTTCCTTGCTAGAGCTTGGATCTCAAGCTATTCTGGGGATTGTGTGTTACACAATATCCTCTTTAACAAATTTGATTTTAGCTTAAATCAGCCAGAATCAACTTCTGTTATTTGCCAATAAGGACTTGAATTGATACTAGAGGTCTGTGCTAGAGATACACATTTGTGAGTCATATGTATAGCGGTAAGCTATAGACAGTGATGAGATTACTTAAACATAGAGAACAGAATGAGAGAAAAGGGCTAGGACTGAGCCTATGAAATTTATGACAGTTAATGATTTAGTAGAAGAGGATGAATCTGAAAGAGGAGACAGAAAAATTATTAGAGATAGAAGAAAAATCAAGTAAATACTGTGTCTTAGAAGCCGAGATGTAGAGTTATTAATTCTCACTTTACATTTGAGGAAACTGAAGTTTAGGTTAGAAACTTGCCCAAAGTTTTGACTTAACAAATAACAGAACCAGAAGTTGAATCCATATCTAACTACAAAGACTATTTACAGAGTTGATTGGATGTATACAAGGGATATATCAAAGAAAAAAATCAACAAGATTTTGTGAATAATTATTTATAAGAGGGAGTAATGAGTCATGTAAGATAACAACTCTTCATGTATTGATTTTGTGGAGAATTACTCTGCCACTGAGACAGGTATATCAGAGGGAGAGGAAGAGACGACTTTGGATTTGGATCAGATTGAACCCAGACTGATGGAAAGGCATGTAAATGTAAATATTGGATAACTCTCAGATAATAGGATAAAACTGGGAATATAGATTTGGGAGTTTTAAGCACATTTTGAATGAATAATCCAAAGAATGTATAGAAGGGGGTATAGTTAAAGAAAAAGCTTAGATAAGAGTCTATAGTTGGGTAGTGATGGTGAGAGGGAAAGAAGTAGAAGCCAAAATCAGAAGGGCAGGTAAGAGAAGTGGGAGAACTTTAAGAAAGTAGTGTCTTGGAAGCCAGGGTTAGGGTTGCAGAGAATTTTAATGGGACCAAGTATGGAAGAGAGTTAGGAAAAAAAGAGGGAAGGGTAAGACTGAGAAAAGACCATTATATTTGGAATAAAAGTATTTATTGATTATCTGAGAAAGCAGTTAAATGTGATGGGGTACAGTGGTTGAGTTGAAAAAGTCAATGAAGAAAGGAGTGGAAAGGAATTGTAGGTAGGAGAAGTGCTTTCTATTGATAAATTTAGCGGTAAAAGTAACAGTAATACAGTGCAATTAGAATGGGCAGCAGTTTTAAACTAAGAATTTCTATAGATTCTGATTTATATGTGTGGAGCAAGAGGGGAAGTTGCTAAAAATAGGTAGGGAGAAATTTTAATGAGTTGTTAGGATAAATGCTTACCTGAGTCAACATTCTACAATTTTTCAAACAGAACATTATATTTCATTGAGGGGATTTAGACGAGAGAATAAAATTTATTATTTAAAACTCTCCAGTAGATGGAACATCTTCATCTTTATTGCTTTTCCAGAAGGAATTTTCACAATGGAATAAGGGGTAGTGGAGTTGATAGAACTCAGGTATATTTTTATGAGAGTAATTAGGATATGCATAAATGTGAATGTAAATGCAAATAAATTGATTTTCAGGTCTCACTAAGGTGGTGTTTCTAGGTTTCCACAATTTTACATAAGAGAATCTACTATTAAGTTGAAGTGGATCAGCTCTTTTGACCTGTCACATTTTCTTGACAGTCATAGCAAAGCAGGGCTAGCAAGACTAATGATAATTGAGCCTTCATATCCATTCTCTCATACCTTCCTAAAGAGGGATAGCTAATAAATATAAACAAGTATAAGAATAAAGCTTCTAAATCTCTTATGTCATCAAATTTACATTAAATTAGCCTTGATGACTATCATTAATACTAATGAGCAGCATTACATTGCATTATAATAAAATTGGTTATGCATATATGATCTGAAGTACTTAAGCAAAAAAATCTCTGCAAGTATCTTTTTCATTTTAATAATCTGTGAAACAGGTTGTTGGGAATTGAGGCAACTGTTTACATCATTTAGTATTAAAAATATTTTCACCAGAAATACACCAATAATGAAGGCAGTTTGGGGGACTATTTGTTTAATTATTGTGAACAAGTTATAAACCGTAAATAATTTATAAATTATAAATAAAGTGAACTCTTTATTTCACCCTGTATATGCAAAGTCTAAGAGCATAAATTACCCAAAGACAGCATTTTGGACAGAAAATATTAATGTGCATTTTATTTGAAACTAAATAAATGAGTCACTCTCAAAACATTTTGTTGAAAGAAAACGTATTTGAATTCTTATACTTGCTTTTCAAGAAATTTTGAAAGCTGAATGAGAAATTGAATTTTGACGATTGGAGTGGTTTTTGTTGTCATGTTAAAAGTTAATATCAATTTTAGTGCTGTTCTCCACAATATATTTTAAACTGTTATTTCACAAGCGGAATGGATAGCCTTAAAAAAAAAAAAAACAACCACCAGTCCCTGACAGGTTCCCTAGCCTGGTTTTAGGGCTTCTGACGCCAGCACACCCTTCTGGGGCGGTGGGATGCTGGGTTCTCGCTTCGCCGCGGGAGGGAGGAAGGGGCGCCGCCGCACAGATCTCGCGTGGAGTTGCGTCTTTCTCTTCAGCGTGATCTGCAGCTCCCGTTGTGGGCTTTGTCGGGCCGGTTGGGACCGAGCGGGACCGAGCTGGGCCGAGCGGGGTCAAGCTTGGGCTCGGGTCGTTCTGTGTCGCGACCTGCTGTAGTGTCCTCGGCGCTCGCGACCCTGACTAGAGTCTGGGATCGGGGAAGGAAGGGTGGGCGTTCGGGTCCCGGAGGGGCCGCTGAGGTGGGTGGGAAAGAACTGCGTGTGGCGGTTATTCCTTAGGCAGGCGGCCCTGAGGGGTTTCGGGGGTTGGCGGGCCCTGTCCCCGATGTACGACCGGAGGTCGCGTTCTGGGGGCTTCCCAGCGCGTGGCCTCGCCCTTGGCCACACTGCCGCCCGAGGCTTCGGGGGCCGCCATGTGGCCGGAGTTTCGGGGGCGGACTCGGGTGAGGAGAAGCGAGTAGGCTGTGAAGGTAGTCGGCGAGCGAACTCCCCGCTTCAAAACGCGCGGGGAGAGTAGCTCCTCGACTCTGCGGGTAGCGAGTGATCCAAACCCCTCCATACGCGTATTTTTTTTTTTTTTAATGCGGCTTGGTAGTCCAGTGAATACCTCCGCTTTTGGAATCTCGGTGGTAAATTCGCAAGTGTCAAATTGCACGGTTCCTGTAGGTTTTACTTCGCTGTTGGTGACTGACTTTCTGTAAGAGTTTTTCTGCGTGTAGTAGTACACACGCCGAGAAAGGACATATTTAGAGATATTGTTTATTTTAAAGGCATATCCTTTTAAGAAATCTGGATGTCCGTGGACTCCAGAATATCCAATAACTTATGGCACGACCATGTATAAACAATTATGAAGTTTCAGTCATGCAACGACATTCAATTTATTTTATTATAGATAACTGTATACATTTATTTTAATATATATAATGACATTCATTTATTAAATACCTGCTAGGGCTCTGCCCAGTACCGGGATGAAGGTGTCTCTTCCCTCCCCACTTCTTGCTCCACCCACATTTTTATGTAATAATGCTATGTCAAAAGGTTGTTTTTAGAAAACCCTTCCTTATTATTATTATTTTTTAGCAAAGTATCCAAGATGAATGACAGCCTATTTGTCAGTTTGGACAGACTTTTGCTAGAATTTGGTAGGTATAAAATGGAAATAAAAAGTAGATAACTATTTGTATTATCATTGGACATTTTAACAATGAAATGAAGTCACAAAAGAGTAATTTATTTTAGTTTTCCAGTATGAACAAGATATAAGTACTAAAGAAGATATGATTCAACGAATTAATAGTAAGTAGTTTTGCATGACAAAGATATTTTAATTTTTTTATGGAATATAAGATATTATGCTGTTGCCTTGTTTAGGGTAATTTATAGTTGGCATTAGAACTTTTCCCCTGGTTCTATGTAGTGACTAATAATGAGCTATTTACCCTATTTTTTCAATAATTTTCTGTATTCAGCGTTTAATTATTTTGTGTTTAAGAATTTTGTTTTAAGTAGATATCGTGCTTATAATTAAATACAATTGAAAATGTTATTTTTCTCAAGTAACACAGGTTATTTTAAATATTTGAGTGAAAAATTTAAAATATTTTTAGAAATCATCAAAAGTCAGTGGCCAGGATTAATGGAAGCCACATTTTCAGGAATGCTAATTATGAAAATTAATATTATGAGTGGAATGACAAAGCAGATTACATAAATATAGTATTTTAAGATCCTACATAAAAACTATCAAAAGAAACTACACTCATTAATTTCTTAATAGTTCTGAAAGGTATTATAGAATTTGGTTATCTTTTCTGCAGCAAAAAGGATTGGATATTAAGAATTTATTTTAATCTTTTTAAGAATTTACATTTTATTTTTAGCTTGTGTTTACTCACTATAACAAAGAAATAAGTGAGTTGAAGGTGCATTAAATAATGACATGGAATTGATGAATAGAAATTCCACATTTGTCAAAAACAAAACTCTTATGTTAGTGTCATATGAGTAAATGTTTACATGAACTCATAGCATCATAAGATGCCATTGATCTTAGATATTACTTAATCCAGCCCTCTTACATTAAAGATGTGGGACAGGGGACGTTTATTTCTCTTCAATCTAAAACACGAATTCTTAGCTTCTGGGTCTAGGAGCAAGCCTGACTCTGGTCCTGTGCTTTTTAGTATAGGGCCCTTCCCATCTCAAGCTTCACTTCCTCTCCATTCTCTGGTTCTCCTTTTCTAGGTCAGTTGCCATACCTTTTTTTCTACTGTATTTATTTTGAATTTATGATTTCCAGAATGCTTTGAAGATATTAAAGAAAACAAAGCGACCATTTGTAAGATACATGAAACTATAAATACAACAGATGAGGAAATCAGCCATTACTATAAACATAGTAAGGAGATCAAAGACAACTGTAGTGAGTGAGTATTTTAAAGAAATTTTCAATAGTTGTCATTAGATTCTCTTATTCGAGGTTTTTGAGTTTATAGTTGAAGACACTGTTGCTTTAAAGTGGTATTTTATATTAGGAAAATGATGAATCAAGTCTTAAATTTCCTTGTTACATGCCACTGTAAAAGGGATCACAGAAGTTTCAAAAGAAAAATAGAAGAGTTGTAAGATCTAATTCAGATCCAGTTAGTCTAAATACAGTATGTTGAATAATCTAGGCTCAGTATAGAAAATTCCGATTAGATAAATAAATTTGAAATAATCTCCATCTTCGAATTTTCAAGATCTTATTTTTGTCTAAGGGAACCTAGCCTAAAATTAGTAGCTTTTCAAAATAAAACTATTTAGTAAGTTAAGAATTCTTTCAGTATAGCTTCAGGTTCTGGATTCTAGTAGTTACATCTATTATAAGACAAACATTTTGAAACAAAGACTTGTTAATGGAACTTAATTGTATGGACAGGTACTTAAAAAAATAAAATGTTTAGTTTTCTGTATTTAATTTTATGTGGATCACTGTCTTTGTAATAAGTACTATATTAAGAATCATATTTGTTTTAAAATAGTTTGTTATTTAAAAATTTCATAAACTTTTTGGTTTTCCCTCATTACTTTTTTTATATTGGTTTTAAAATTTTATAAAAGTAACACATGCTTAGTATAAAAATTCAAAGACTATACAAATGTATGGAGTAAAAAGTTTTTTCCTGCCTGTAGTCCCCATCCCTACCCTGTCCTCTTCCTTACAGGTGATCACTCTTAACAGTGAGTATCCTTCCAGACCTTTTAAAATATATATTCAACATCACTATCACATATGCTTATATATACATCTACCTGTATATCTGCCTTTCCTTTTTTAAAAAATGCGATCATACCATACTTATTTTTCAACTTGTTTTTTAAATTTAACAATATGTAATGTAAATGGTACTATACATGTAATGATTATGTATGGATTTCATTCTTTTTTTTTTTTAACAACTCCATAGTATTTTATAGTATTGATGTATCCTAAGTTATTTAACCATTCTCCTATTAATAGACATTTAGGTTATTTCCAGTTATTTCCTATTATAAACAACATGTACAGGTATCCTTCCATATTTCTAGACCAGTTGCTATAGAATGACCTCCTGGAAGTGAAATTGCCAGGTTGAAGAGTATGCATGTTTAAATATTTGATAAGTAATGCCAAACTGCTCTCCCCCAAAAATTATACTAATTTATACTTTCACCAACAATATATGAGAGTTTCTATTCCTCACACCCTTGCTAACACTGAAATTATCAATGTTTAAATTTTTTGGCAATCTGATCAACGAAAAAACTACATATTGTTGAACTTTTTCTTTTAGTTTGATTTAGGTTTATGGTAGTTAAGTTTTACCAGTGGTTTCCCTCAAGTAGCTGCAAAGCCTGCTGGAAAAGTATTGGTAGTTTCCCCGCAGAACCTACTGTGTCCAAGATGTACTTTACTTGAAACAAGATTATTCTCTGCTGGGTTCTGAGGGCAGTTAGTAGGATCTGTTGATTTTAGGATCTGTTGATTTTAATGCATGAATACCTCTAGTTCATGATTTCAGCATGCTGGTTAAGAGGTTTAAATGTGAAATGTGAATTCATGAAAGTATTAGAAGAAAATATAGGTGACTATAATCTTTGAGAGAGGAAGGCCTTTCTAAGTATGTCATCAAAGGTAGAAACCACATAGGAAACAATGGATAAATATGACACATGCAAATTAAAAAGAAAAACACCTCAAAATGATACAAAAAGCAAAAGGATAAGGTAGGAAAATGTCAAAGAAGGGTTAATTTTTAAAATATAAAGTGCTTGTAGAAATTAATAAGAAAGAGCCAAAGTCCCATTAGAAAAATAAGCAAAGAAGGTAAACAGGTAAATACCAAAATGAAGAAATGTATGTCTAATAAATGTGAACAAATGCTCAATCTTACTAATAATCAAAGACATCCAAATTAAAGCAATAATAAAATACTATATATTCTTTTGCCTTTAAGTTTTGCAGAAATTTAAAGAAGGATAATACCCAATGTTTGGCCAGGAAATAAGAAAATCACCCCTCTCATACACTGTAGGAATGTACACTGGTATATACCTTTTGGATGACATATAAGTATACTTCAGAGGCTTTAAAAATAAGCATGACTTTTGATTAAACAGTTCCATTTCTGATAATTTTTCATAAGGAAATAATTAGGCATTTTCTCAAAGATGTAATGTACAACAAGGTATTTATTTCAACTTCTTTTACGATAGGAAAACAGTGCAAGCAACTCAAATGTTCAACATTAGGTGATTGTTTAGATGCATTTTGGTATATCCATATGAATGAACAGTAGGCAGCCCATTAGTTTATGATATAAGTGAATATTGACATGGAAAGGTGTTAACAGTATATTACAAATTGAACAAAACATTAAAACAACATTCGTAGAATAAACTCAATTTAGTAATTGTGTATTTATGTATAATTTAAAAAGTCTAGAAATATGTACATCAAAATGGTTACAGTGAATATCTTTTTAGTGAACATGTCTTTCTTATGGAATTTAAAAAATATTCAGAATGTATGTATATATAACCTTTGACCTTATAATTCTATTTTGGGGAATATTGCCTAAGGAAATGGTTGTAAACTCAGACAAGTGTTTAAGTACAAGTTCTTAAGAGAAACTTAGACTAACCAAAATGGCCAACAATATTGGAATGGTTAGAAAAATTGTGTAATATGTTGTATTTATTAAAACTTTTACAATGAATTCTTAGTGACAAAGAAAATGTATATATTGATAGTTTAAAAGTAAGTGATGAAGGATGATATGTTGTATATGTGAATATGATCTCAAAGATGTTAAACTATATACTTAGAGTAAAATCTGGAAATAATTTATTAAAATAATATCAATATTAGTAGTTATTATTCAGTGTTGAGAATATAGATGGTAATTATTTTCTTATGTATACTTTTCTGTTCTTCCAAAATGGGTATGCATACTTTTTGAATCTGAAAAAACAAAAAAGATTAGAAAAAAGAGCTAGAGGAAATATTTGAACAATACTTAGAATGTAAGCTGCCATGGTGTATACTTAATTTTAGATTTTTCACACTGGCAACATTTTTCGAGTCATGTAATAAAACAGATGTATAAGTTGAATATTCATTTTATTCTTACTATCTGATTTTATAATTCATTATGGTCTAGTTTCTTTCTTTCAAGTTCAGGAGGGTGTAAAACCTGACTTTCTAAATTTCAAAGGAGAAAAAAGCCTCTCTTTATCCCTTATCTTAGCTCTTTAAATGTTTACTCCAAAAGAATTTCTTAGCTGAGATCTTAGAAGTATGATGAGAAACAAAGCCTGATGTTGGAGTGTTGCAGAGTATATTCCAGAAATGCCATAGTAATACACAGTCCATCCATGTCACATTTGTTCCTTCCCTAGTCATGGTTCCAAAACAGGCTTTATGTAAAAATTAATCGATATTGACATTTGAGCATATGTACGATTGCATGAATGGTCATAGTGGTGGTGATCGGAGATGGGAATGTTTTTCTTAATGTAAGCTTGTTTTTTCCAGGAAAGGAAAGAATTGTTTATCTTTAAATGGTTACATTCATTTTTATTATTTCTTAAATTTGTTTATCATTCTGAGATGCTAATTACAGTATTTTTTTTCCATAGCTGGAGGCCAACATGTGATATATTTCATAAACATGAAGACTATATGAAGGACCAGTTTACTATTTATCAAGAAACTGTTGAAAAAGACAGGTACAGTACATATATTAATTTAAGCTTATCAATTCTATAACTTAGTATTAATAAAATATTCTTTGCAAAAATATTAATTGAAAAATACACAAAATTTTTTTTTAGTTTATTTATTTATTTTTAAAGCAAATTCGGTGTTTTGGACTCTGGTTGTCACTGTTGGCATACCTATTTGTTATAAAGCTCTATCCAACCTTTAATATATTTAAATATGTCCTTAGATAGAAACTATTTATCAGTAGCAGTTATAAGGCAGAGTGCTTCAATTAATATTTTTTATGACTGAATTGCTATAGTCAAACATCTGGGGGAGTAGTTAGCTGTATAATTAGCTTATGAAAAATTTGGAGTATTGACTTTCGAAGGGTATTTTTATATTGAACTTGTTTTTCAGAGTGCTGATTTAGTGGGGTGTTATATTCTGACAGAGAAATACCATTGGGTTGGCCAAAAATTAAGATGTTACGGAGAAACCCGAATGAACTTTTTGGCCAACCCAATAATATTTGTGTGGGCTTATTTTATTATGTGTTAGATCACCTGGTTTGGGGGAGTAAATGTAATTAATGAATATAATGAAACAAGGTGAGGAACTTTGAACACGTTATATAGTATTATAATTTCGCTTAATTTAAAAAATTGAAATGTTTTTATTTTTAACATAATTGGACAAGAGCTGTGTTGATTTAATTTTTAATTTTTATTTATTTATCTTACTACTTTCCCCCCAGCTTTATTGAGGTATAATTGACACATAGCAGTAAGTCTGGGGTGTAAAACATGATTTAATACATGTGTGTATTGTGAAATGATTACCACAGTAAGGTTAGGTAACACATCTATCACTCTATTATATTTTTTGTAGTGAGAATATTTAAGATTTACTCTTTTAACAACTTTCAAGTATATAATACAGTATTATTATATTCACCATGCTTTATATTAGATCCCCAGAACTTATTCAACTTTTAACTGGAAGCTTGTACTCTCTGATCAACATCTTTTCATTTCCTCTACCCGTCAGCCCCTGGAAACCACCATTATACTCTCTGCTTCTGTGAATTCACCTTTTTAAAAAGATTTTACATATAAGTGAGATCATAACAGTATTTGTCTTTGTCTGACTTGTTCAGTTAGCATAACACTCTCAAGGTCCATCTGTGTTGTCACAAATGGCAGGATTTCCTTCTTTTTTAGTGGCTAAATAACATTCCATTTTTATATATATCACATTCAAAAAATCTATTCATCTGTCAGTGGACACTTAGGTTGTTTCCATGTCTTGGCCATTGTGAATAATGCTTCAATGAACATGGTGCAGATATCTCTTTGGGATAGTGATTTTTTTTTTTTTTTTCCTGCGGTACTCGGGCCTCTCACTGTTGTGGCCTCTCCCGGCTCCGGACGCACAGGCCCAGTGGCCATGGCTCACGGGCCCAGCTGCTCCGCGGCATGTGGGATCTTCCCGGACCAGGGATCGAACCCGTGTTCCCTGCATTGGCAGGCAAATTCTTAACCACTGCACCACCAGGGAAGCCCGGGATAGTGATTTTATTTCCTTTGAATATGTAACTAGAAGTGGGATTACTGGATCATATGGCTTTTCTATTTTTAATTTTTTGAGGTGCCTCCATACTGTTTTCCATGGTGGCTGTATCAATTTACATTCCCACCACCAGTATACAAGGGTTCCCTTTTCTCTACATCCTTGCCAACACCTATCTTTTGTCTTTCGGTAATAGCCATTCTACACATATGAGGTACTATCTCATTGTGGTTTTGATTTGTATTTCTCTGATAATTGGTGGTGTTGAGCATCTTTTCATGTACCTGTTGACTATTTGTCTTCTTTAGAAAAATGTCTCTCAGCCCTTTGCCCGTTTTTAACTTGGATTATTAGTCTTTTTGCTATTCAGTTGTATGAGTTCCTTATGTATTTTGGATATTAACCCCTTATTGGATATATGGTTTGCAAACATTTTCTCCCGTTCTATAGTCTGCCTCTTCATTTTGTTGATTGTTCTTTTGCTGTGCCGAAGCTTTTATAGTTTGATGTAGTCCCACTTGTTTATTTTTGCTTTTGTTGCTTGTGCTTTTGGTATCATATCCCCAAAAATCATTGCCAAAAACAACATCAAGGAGATTTTTTCCCTAGGAGTTTTATAATTTCAGGTCTTACATTTAATTTAAGTCTTTAATCCATTTTGAGTTCATCTTTATGAGTGGTATAAGATAGGGGTCCAGTTCCATTCTTTTGCATGTGGCTATCCAGTTTTCCCAGCATTGTTTATTGCAGACTATCCTTTCCCCATAGAGTATTCTTGGCTTCTGTTCCAAATATTGATTGACTGTATATGCATGGATTTATTTCTGGACTCTTGTTTCTGTTCGATTGGTTTATCTGTCTGTTTTTATGCCAATACTATGCCTTTTTTTTTTTTCTTTTTTGGCGGTACACGGGCCTCTCCCGGCTCCGGACGCACAGGCCCAGTGGCCATGGCTCACGGGCCCAGCTGCTCCGCGGCATGTGGGATCTTCCCGGACCAGGGATCGAACCCGTGTTCCCTGCATTGGCAGGCAAATTCTTAACCACTGCACCACCAGGGAAGCCCGGGATAGTGATTTTATTTCCTTTGAATATGTAACTAGAAGTGGGATTACTGGATCATATGGCTTTTCTATTTTTAATTTTTTGAGGTGCCTCCATACTGTTTTCCATGGTGGCTGTATCAATTTACATTCCCACCACCAGTATACAAGGGTTCCCTTTTCTCTACATCCTTGCCAACACCTATCTTTTGTCTTTCGGTAATAGCCATTCTACACATATGAGGTACTATCTCATTGTGGTTTTGATTTGTATTTCTCTGATAATTGGTGGTGTTGAGCATCTTTTCATGTACCTGTTGACTATTTGTCTTCTTTAGAAAAATGTCTCTCAGCCCTTTGCCCGTTTTTAACTTGGATTATTAGTCTTTTTGCTATTCAGTTGTATGAGTTCCTTATGTATTTTGGATATTAACCCCTTATTGGATATATGGTTTGCAAACATTTTCTCCCGTTCTATAGTCTGCCTCTTCATTTTGTTGATTGTTCTTTTGCTGTGCCGAAGCTTTTATAGTTTGATGTAGTCCCACTTGTTTATTTTTGCTTTTGTTGCTTGTGCTTTTGGTATCATATCCCCAAAAATCATTGCCAAAAACAACATCAAGGAGATTTTTTCCCTAGGAGTTTTATAATTTCAGGTCTTACATTTAATTTAAGTCTTTAATCCATTTTGAGTTCATCTTTATGAGTGGTATAAGATAGGGGTCCAGTTCCATTCTTTTGCATGTGGCTATCCAGTTTTCCCAGCATTGTTTATTGCAGACTATCCTTTCCCCATAGAGTATTCTTGGCTTCTGTTCCAAATATTGATTGACTGTATATGCATGGATTTATTTCTGGACTCTTGTTTCTGTTCGATTGGTTTATCTGTCTGTTTTTATGCCAATACTATGCCTTTTTTTTTTTTCTTTTTTGGCGGTACACGGGCCTCTCGCTGTTGTGGCCTCTCCCGTTGCAGAGCACAGGCTCTGGACGTGCAGGCTCAGCGGCCATGGCTCACGGGCCCAGCCACTCCGCGGCATGTGGGATCTTCCCAGACTGGGGCACGAAACTGTGTCCCCTGCGTCAGCAGGCGGACTCTCAACCACTGCACCACCAGGGAAGCCTGATGCTATTTTGATTACTATATCTTTGTAGCATAGTTTGAAATGAGGAAGTGTGATGCTTCCACCTTTGTTTTATTTTGAGATTTCCAGAAATTGACTATTTGGGGTCTTTTGTGGTTCCATACAAATTTTGGGATATTTTTTCTATTTCTGTGAAAAATGCCATTGTAATTTTGATGGGATTGCATTGAATTTTTAGATAGCTTTGGGTAGTATGGATATTATAACAGTATTAATTCTTATGATCTGTGAGCACAGAATATCTTTCCATATTTATGTCTTCTTCAGTTTCTTTCATAGTGTCTTATAGTTTTCAGTGTACAAATCTTTCACCTTCTTGGTTAAATTTATTCCTAAGTTTTTAAATGTGTTTGGTGCTACTGTAAATGGGATTGTTTTCTTTATTTTTTTTTTCAGGTAGTTCATTGTTTGTGTATAGAAGTGCAACTGATTTTTATATGTTGATTTTGTATCCTGAAACTTTATTGAATTTGTTGATTAGTTCTAATAGGTTTTTGGTGGAGTCTTAGAATTTTCTATATATTGATATAAGGATATACTGTTTACAAACAGACCATTTTACTTTTCCCTTTCCTATTTGGATGCCTTTTTTTTCTTTCTCTTGCCTAATTGCTTTAGCTAGCTCTTCCAGTATTATATTGAATAAGAGTGGTGAGAATGGCACCTTTGTCTTGTTTCTGATTTTGGAGGAAAAGCTTTTAGCTATTTACCATTGAGTATGATATTAGTTATGGACTTGTCATATATAGCCTTTATTGTTGAGGTATACCCAATTTATTGAAAGTTTTTATCATGAAAGGGTGTCAGATTTTGCCAAATACTTTTTCTGCATCTACTGAGATCATATAATTTTTATCCTTCACTCTATTAATGTGGTATTTCATGTTTAATTATTTGTGTATATTGAACCATCCTTGCATCCAAGGATAAATCCCATTTCGTATTCGTGTATGATTCTTTTAAAGTGCTGTTGAATTTGTTGGCTAGTATTTTTTTTTGAGAATTTTTTCATCCATATTCATCAGGCATATTGGCTTGTAGTTTTCTTTTCTTGTAGTGTCCTTATTTGGCTTTTTATCAGGGTAATGCTGGCCTCATAAAATGAATTGGAGAGTGTTTTCTCCTCTTACATTTTTTGGGAAGAGTTTGAGAAGGATTGATGTTAATTCTTCTTTAAATGTTTGGTACAGTTTACCAGTGAAACCATCTGGTCCTGGGCTTTTCTTTGTTGGGAGGGTTTTGATTACTGCTTCTATCTCCTTACTA